GGCGGCGGCGGCTAGCGGGGCCGTGAGAGCGGGCAACGCCGCCGCTGGAACAGGTTCGAAAGAGGCCCGGGGCGCAGGGCCCCAGCAACGCAGGCAGGCGGATCGCCAACCAACAGTCGGCTTGAGCGCCGCTTGGGCCGTGCGGGCGCGCGCGCAAGGACGACGGCGAAGGCGCGCTATATAGAAGCGCGGCCGCGGCTGCTCCCCTCGTCTTTCTTGCGCTGCCTGACAGCTCTCCGGAGCGGAGAGTGCGGCGCGGCCGCGTCCCATCCGGCGGGCGACGCACGCCCTTCTCCCCGCGCCGTGGGTGCGCACCCCTCGCGGCCGACACAAATGGAAAAAGAACCGCGCAGTGGCGGTGCAGGGCAGAGGGCTAGGGCGGAGCGCTGGGGGAGCGTCGCGCAGGCGGCGTCCTGCCGGCGGGGCGGGGCGGGGCGGGGGCCGGGAAGGGTGCACGGAGCGAAGGGGAACGGAATTAGAGGGTAGTCGCTCAGACGCGGGAAAGCTTGGGCGATGGCAGCGCGAGGATTCGGGTTGGAGGCCCTTTTCAATCCTCATTTCGCCAAACGTGTTTACCCATTTAAACATGTTTCTGTTTCCTGATAAATAAATGAGAAAGAAAGCAATTCCGGTCCTTGTAATGCAAATCTTGCGGATTGTTTCAAAACGGTAACATCGATAATATTTTGGCGCACCACGAAAGGTGATGCAGATTTTTTTACTTAGAACATGATTATTTTTCGTAGAAGAGAGCTGAGGAAGTAACGTAGGTAACGTCCTGAAACCTACATAATTTGTAGTAGAAGCTTGAGAGATGAATTTTGCGAATAGGTAGTTCCGCCTCTTCTCGCCAGAGGTCGTACGTTGCTTTGTTGTGGTCGCGCTACCATGACGACGCACGGACGATCGACATTTGGTCTGTTTTTAAACTAGGCTCTGTTAATTTAAGCTAAAACGCTTGCATCTAAGAGAAAATAATTCTGGAATACAAATCGAAAAATAAATATTGTTTGCAAAATTGGTTGAGTTATTACGTTTTTATTAGAATGATAGAAAATAAGTGTTCCAGTTCTTTGTTACCGTTTTTCACTTTTGTATAGTGTCGATTAAAGTTGTTTTACATTGTAAATAAACTGTTAAAAAAATAAAAATATCGAAAATTAAATTAAGAAAACGGGGGGGGGGATCACAAATTTGTTCATTTTAAAATAAATTGTGCTTATTGAGAAACCCATGCCAGAGAAATTGTGAGTAGAGTTGTGCCGTGCTTGAAGCGGAAGGGAAGGGCTGGCCGGCTGCGGTGGAGGCCGAGAGAAACTTCTTGTGTCTCCTCAGTCGGGTGGGAGTGACGTTGCGGGTTGCAACAGGCAACTGGTACGCACCTGCAAGTAGGCCAGAGACAGGATACGTACGGTGCTGCCGTTGAGCGCGCCACCTACCTGGCTACCACTGCCGTCCGACGCGCCCGTTTGAATACGGAAAGGCGACTGACAGATTCAGTGGCGAATCAATCAACGCTCTGAACGAAACTGTCAAGCCTCTTAAATTCATTGGTCGCGTTTATAATTTTTCCGTTTTCATGCATGTATTTTTAACAAATCTTATTAAGAAAGGTATTATCTTCTAGAACAATAAAAATTACCATTGTTAATCGGATTGCATATATGTAGAGACTGGGGATTCGTGGGTACCAAAACCCGCGTTTGCACGTGTAGTAATCGGTTTACTAGACACTAGTGTCCTTTACTAGAATGTATTAAAGGAACGAGTCAGAACCAAAGGATTTGTCGTACTCTATAAATCAGTTCGCCATCTATAAAGAGTCCGAATATCGGTTGCTTCTCAGTAGAGATCGTTCTGCTCGAAGCCTCGTCCATTGCTGAAGGCCACTGTGACGACCATTTTGACTTAGGACAGTGGAACCTTGCCACCAAGGTTATCGTAGTATCTCTTCATGCGTACGGATGTTTTTATTCGGAAGTCACTTTTTCCTATGTCTGCTTAGTATTTGTTAATGTAAACTTTTTTTATTCTCCCAACATTTACTATTACATGTAAAATAATTTGTCTTTAATCTGACACAAAACTTTATGTAGAAACTGTTATTTGGCCAAGAAAAAGGACTATTCTTCACTGTAATTAATTTGTGTTTGTTCCATATGATCCATAAAGTCTGATCATTTTTAACATATTTAGGAAACAAAAGCTTGATAATTACAGATTATTTTTTAGTGCTTTATTATATGTTTGGCTATATATCAACAACTTATCCTAATATAAAATATTGAAACTCACAAATATTGATTAGACTTTATTTTGTTATTGCCCCTGACATGAGTATACTAAAATAACCTTCCAAAACATTAAACAACTAGAAAAAAATTTATTTGTTGATATTAATGTTACAGAGCCCTGCTATGATGGGGCTGCAAGCTACTGCGAGTAAGCGGAAGCTGGAGTATGACAACAAGTGCCCCTCCAAAGTGGTGCGACTTGAAGAGAGTGCTCGAGAAGCTGCTGTTGAGGACTGGCATATGGACAACAGCACAAGTTCAGTTTTAGCATCATCACTGCTAGGAGCAGCATCTGCTGTTGCTGTGGTTGATGATGATGATGAAGAGGAGGAAGACGAGGAGGACGAAGAAGAGGATGAGAAGAATGGGAAGTACCTTCCAGCAGGCCGGGGTTATCAGTGTGCACGATATGGTGGTGCGGACATGTCACCTGCGTGTTACTCTCACCCTGTTGACTTGAAACCTATGCCTACATACTATGGGGCAAGTGAGGAGCAGGGTTACTCTGGGGCAAGTATGTCCCAGTATAACTCCAGGCCGCAGCAGCATTATGCTACCACTGCTAGAAATGTTCCTCAGTATTGGGGTGCATCTGCAGTGAATGATGGGGGTAGTGAATACTACAGCCAAGATTCAGGCTCCCAACAAACTATTCGTTGTGATGAAAATGGGAAGTCCTATCTAGACCTTGGTAGTTCAAGTGCAAGATATGTGAACAGTGCTGTGAGTAATAATAACAGTGGTGCATCACCTGATGTACAAAAGTGCTGTGATGGTAGTAGAACTAGCTGGTGTAACCAGGGACCTAATGCGGCTTGCTATCGTCAGAGAAGACTCGCAGTGCTCAATATTTCTATGTGTAAACTGGGACGTTATAGACAATTCCCTGATCCTAGCTTGCATCGTTCAGTTCTCATTTGCAATACGTTGAGGTATATTGAACGGGAAATGGAACAAGAGGGATTCTTTTTCAATAATGCTAATAGTGCAATACAGACTCCACCTCCTCCGGTTCCACCTCCAGCTCCAACACCTCATCCACCCATTGAGCCAGAACCAAGTTATCATTCACAGTTTCCAGAAGTGCCTGCTCCTAACATGAGCTACTCTTCTTCTCATTACCGCCTAGCAAGTCCTGTAAATGAAATTGTACCGCCATATGAGCAGAACTTACGGGAACTATCTTCATCTGGTCGTGCTACTCCATTTCCTGGAGTGAGCCATTCTTCAAATTATGATACTGATTCTGGCATGGGGGATGAGGAATCGGGAAGAGGTATTAACTGGGGTTCTGTGCTTAGTCTATCAAGTCAATCAGATCTGGATCCACTCAACAACAACGAGCTGTACCCTTCATCACCATCACATTCATCGTCTTCGTCAATGGGACTGGGCCCCTCTGATAACAATTCTCTAGGACTCCTTGGAGACATGGACCTTGGCCACGAATTTGATGATTTCCTGCCCAGTTGGAAACTGACTCCACTCAGTGCTGATGATATCCTCAAGTCCGTCCCATCGTCTGAGCTAGGAGGACGACAAGGGGAAGGTGAATTGGACAGCATTATGCACGTGTTAGTCGGAACATAATGAGAAATGTGCAGGCACATAGCTGAGCCATATCTACACAATATGGACTAGTTTTGCCTGGCCATTTTATTCGTCCAAACAGTTATTGATAATGTCATCGAACTTCTGTGAGGTTACCGGTCAGTTGATTGATCTTCATGTGCTCAGGTTGTGAAGGACTGTCGAAGGGTCAAATTTTCTGTAAATCCATCTCGACAGTCCATGGTCCTTTGTAGTTAATTTACCTTAGACCTAGACTATTTGGTGATTGCATATTTGAAATCTTACCTGAAAAGTCATTTCTTCAACTCAGTCGCCTTACTTGCAATGGCAGGAGGCTACTAGCTTAATAGCCATAGGAATTGCAACTAGATCAATTCTTCTGAACAAATTAGGTAATCTATTTTCTAAAATTATTTCTTCACGTTCTGTCCTATGTTCATATGATACTATATGTTATTTTACTGAAAATTTTACAGCAATGTCAAAATATGAAGGGATTATACTAAGATTTTTATTTTCATGCAATTTGCAGTTGTGTGAATTAGGTGCTCAAATCATTATAAAAATGCTCAAAACAATAAGTATTTTATTGTATTATCATTCAGCATTTCAATTTGAACGTAAATGTACTGTTGCCATCTTTTGTAACTTGTTGCCATGTTTGAGTTTTTAATGTACATGTAATAACAGCAGCATTTGATTTAAATACTCCTCCTGCTGTATGTTTGCAAGTTATCATTAAATGACATCATAGAGTATATTTTTTGAAGGAACATAAGGTGCATGTGGTTGGCTGGTGTAAGTTTTCCAATATTCAGACCTAAGCCTACCACTTAGTGGACAGTTTACTTGTACATAAGATCAGGATTATTCTGTACTGTTTAGAGTAGATTCTTTTTGTACCTTGGAATTATCTGTTTTAAATGCAGCTAGTTGTCCTGCATACATTTAGTCTCTCAAATTGGCATACTGAGTGACCTATAATAAAGGATCATTGATAAAATACGAATCCACACCTAATTAAAGATCTTTGTTAGTTCTTTTGTTGTTTGTTATGGAAATAAATATTTCCACTTCATTAATTATTCATGTTACTCCGAGGTTACTTTTTATTTTTTATATAAAACTAGACTGTTCTATAGTACATATTGATCTCACTGTAAAGTACTTGCAATTGATATTGGACAGATATTTTTTATAATGGTATGCAGAAGGAAACTGGTTATCAAATGTAATCCCAAGGTTTCTCATAGTATCTAAACAGTATGAAATACTCCGTATGTTCCATGACAAATGGACATATATGTAATATAAAGAGGTATTCCTTTAATTTTGGTTTAGGCAGCCACCAAGGCAGAGAGTTGGGCATTACTGCTCAGTTTTCTCTCCTCTGCTGTAAATATGTGTATGTATGCAAGGGTCTTGTATAATGTAAATAGTAGTATAAAGCATATATTATAAAAAGTATATTATCTATATAAATATATTTTGATGCCCCCAGGAGGATGAAGCTGCCCATTGATAATATTTTGAGTATCAAAACAAAGTCTAGTCCACTAAAACGTCTTAATAAACTGTCAAAGCGTAAGCTGAGGAACAGAAAACTGAGATACTAACCAACTCCCCAGTCTGTCTGGTTGTCACTTATGATTATAGAGTATTAATTCTATATTATGAAATAAAGGTTATGTCACAGTTTTACAAGTAGCTAATATTCTGTGTAGCTCAGGATACCATTATGAATGTTTTCACTTTCATCCACCTTAAGCTCCAAGTGCTCCAACTATTTCTTATTGCAAACGTACCTGTGTACATTTTATCCTAAATGAATATAATTGCAAAGAAAGGATAATTTTGTCTTATAAACAAAAATCAATAGTATCTCAAAGAATTTAATTGAAGAAAACTAAAGTGTTGGTTTGGATTTTAGAAAGAAATGGTAATGAAATTGGAGCTTTAGTGGTGCCCTTCAAAAGATAAAGTGGAAAAAATGAGAAATGATTGTGCTGTGATATTGTCGTGTACAATTGTTACAATTAATACATTGGCTGCTGATGTTAGTTTAGATAAAACTGAAAATCTTTATCTGTTGGGAAGATGTGATCAATTTGCAATAAATGAATCATGTTACACTCATGCATAATTGGTGAAATTCTTTATGATCAGGAACTTTTGTTACTGAATGTCAGCAAAAACATTTCCCTATGCTTGATGTTACAATAATGATCTTATAAACAGCAACTAAACCTCTTGGCAGTGATTTGTCTTAAAAAATGTTTAAATGACACACATTGAGCTCCAAGTTCATAAATTAATGCAACATTAGTAAATTTTGACAGGTTCTTCTGAAATAAGAAATGAGCACAAATGGTTGTGTAGTAGCTGTGGTATGAAATACCATATTTGTCTTATAGTAATGTGTCAAACCTCCCAAGAAATTGAAGCAAAAGCAGTAATTGATTTTTTCCTTTGCAATTTTAGTATATGACAGCAAGTTTTGGAATTGAACACTGACCACTTGTCAAAAAAAGCAAAATCATGATTCTAATGTAGCACAAAACCTGTTAGTAGCAATGTTGTATTTCATATTTGTAACAGAAATTATGACCAAATCTTGGCTCTTTTTCAGATGTCTAAAAACTCTTGTTCTTGTCATCTAATCAGGTTAAATTATGGAACAATAACGTACAATCATTAGTGCTAATGTATGGAAAATTGTTATTTTCATGTCTTTTTATAACAAACCAAAAACTATGGAAAAAAAATTGTTTGACTGAATTTTATAAGGTTTCCCTTTTATGGCAGTGATCCAATTTCTCAAGAGAAATGGGTATGTACTAATTGGCATCTTATCTCTAAATGGGAAAAAATATGAGAACTATTACTTACCATATGCCAAATCCTTACCATCTCTTGTCAAATTATGCATCACAAATGCCACCACTCCCTTTTATGTTCTAGTAATGTAATTTACTAATGGTATCCTGGTCAAGGGCTCATCCTGTTTTTGAAAGCCATGCCAAGGAACTCTAAATTTTAATACTTGAAAGTTTCATTTTATACTGTTAAGATCATTCAATGAGGAACTTCATGAAAAATATCTATTACCTGTTAACATACTACACCCACTTAAGTTTCTTGAAAGAAATGACCAATAAGGGACCTCACCTGTTCTGTTTTATGTGAAAATCTCAAATGAAATTTCAAGAACAGGATGTGAAAAGAAATTATGGCATTAATGTACAAACATTTGTATATTTTCAAAGCCAAAGATATTTTATTGGATTAGGGAGAGTGGCAACTAACATATAAAGATACTGTGCTTTATAATTAATAGTTTATTATTGAATTAGATATAGATGTATTTATTCAAATGCTGTGAATAGATACATATACGTCCTTGTACAGATTCAGAAACAAAGCAATGAGCAATAAACAATGGTTTCCAAAATAAATTCAACTATTTATTACTAACACCTTAATCCAAGTAATGTCCCATTTCATTGCCAATATGATGCCTATCATCCATCCTTTAAAAATATACCATAATCTTCAAGTAGCTCACTGAGCACTTATGAAGTGGCCTGAAAATCGGAAAATAATTACTTCATCTATGTTTGCACAGAAGGCAAAATTTATCAGATATTTTAAATGGACTTTCCCCCCACATTTGCAAATGTATTGAGCATTCCTATCAGAAAGTAAATTAGTTTTTGTATTGAATGATGATTCAATCTAAAGTCAGAAATTTGATCCAATGAAAAGAAAAAAAAGTATATTTATTTATTTGTATATTATTCAACATTTTTACTTCCTAAAACACCAAACAGATAGCAACATGCAGATCTGCAAGGTTATTTTCAGAAGTAACAGAACTGTCGAAATATTTATTTATACAATTATTTGAGGATCTTGCAAGGGCATCAGTAGTAAGATTAATAACAAACTACAAGAATACAAATCATTTGTCAGTTCAAAAAGTGTATTTCAAATAGAAAAATACAAGAACCTGAGATTCCGTAAAATTGGTTCACAGTACAGTAATACAGATTAAAATACTGATAATAGCTAAAAAAAGGAAAAGATCACATAACATTGGGGGAAATGGGTAAGAAGCTGTAACCCTGAGGAAACAATGATGGAAGACATTTTCAAACTATATCACAATAAAAAAACACAACCGAAATGCAGATACTGTAGATGCATAGCAAAGGGCATGCTACCACAATACATCAGGTACATGATTAACTTATCTTAATTGCTAAACGTTAATGGCACAAATAATACAAAAATATAAATACGATAAAAATAGTATACTGAACACCAAACAGGAACATTGAGTACATTCCCTAATGTCTAGGACTGAACAGAAGGAGGGGTGATCAATTTAGCGGCTTCAGATTCTTCATTTTTTTTAAGTTTAATGCTCTCTTTATCCAAAATTTTCACGTTGGTATCATTTTCAGCAGGAGATGCAGAATGACTATTATTAATTCCATTTGTCTTAGACTCTACTTCCTTTTTTATTTCAACATTTCCCTCATTACCAGAATTAATTTCTGTGCTTTCAACATCCATTGGGGCAGCTTTATCAACTGTTTCTGAATCCTGACCATCTGTTTCCATTGCTTCAGCATTTTTGGCAGATGAATCATTATCAGAAGATTTATTCTCCTCTGCATCCTTCTTAGGAACTTTGTCGTCAGAAATCTTATTATCTACTTTCTGATCTTTATCTGAACTGTCAGGAGCAGCAGTTTCCATTTCCACATCTGTTTCACCATTTTCTGTACAAGCAATTTTATTTTTTTTATCCATTGAATCCTGATTATCTTTCTCTGTTAACTTCTCTGGACAACTTTCAGTCACCTTTTTCTCTTCAGTGTTTTCTAAGGACTTGCATTCTCCTCTCTTTGAATCTTCAGAGCCTTTTGTTGGTAAATCAGGCATAACATTTTCACTTTTTGAATCCTCTGTTCCTGATTCTTCCATCTTCTCTGAAGTGTGAGGGGCATTATTTTCAATAGCCTTAGAGTTTTTTAATTGCTTGGTTGATTCATCAGTCTTTGATTCTTCACACTCCATCTTTTCATCCAAAGATTCAGTAGTCTGTACCTTCTCAGCTTTTGAGGGCAATGCTTCATTAACAGATTTTAAGGGCTTTGCCTCTGAGGCAATCATCTTTTCCACTTTGGTATTCTCAGTCCTCTCAGGAGACTTTACCTCTTCGGCTCCCTCTGCAATTTTTGCTTTTCCAATACCTTCTGAAACTTTTTCTTCAGCTATCTCACCTGATTTAATATCATTAGTAACGTCCGAGGTGGTTACTTTCTCAGTAACCTCAGGGGTTTTAATCTCCTTATTAACTTCTGAAGTGGTTACTTTCTCAGTAACCTCAGGAGCTTTAATCTCTTTAGTAACTTCTGATGTGGTTACTTTCTCAGTAATCTCTTCAGCAATTTCAGTTGATTTTTCATCTGAAGCTTTAACTTCTTCAGCTACCTCTGGCGAACATGAAGTTTCTTTTGCCTCTTCTGCTATCTCAACAGATTTATCTTTTTCCACAATTTCTGAGGTCTTTTTAGCAGAAACATTTGACTTTTCTAAAACCTTTGACTCAATTTTTTCAGGAACTTTAGTTTCATGTTTTTTAATTTCCTCTTCACCTGAAGCCTTCAAGTCTTTACCATCTTTAGATGTACTTTTAACTTCAGCATCTACGTTCATTTTCTCACAAGGAGAATCAACAGTCTTTTCTTCTCCCACATCACTTGTGGCCTTTTCTTTACTAGCAGTTTGAGCAGTCTTAGCCTTATCAACTTCAGCAGTCTTAGTTTTATCAGAAGCATCATCAGCAGCGGCAGTCTTGGATGCATCAGAAGCAGCGGCAGTCTTGGCTTCATCAGAAGAATCAGCGGCAGTCTTAGGTTCATCAGAAGAATCAGCGGCAGTCTTAGGTTCAACAGAAGAAACAGCGGCAGTCTTAGGTTCAACAGAAGAAACAGCGGCAGTCTTAGGTTCAACACTCTTAGAATCCTTTGCAACCTCTGGAATTACTGTTTCTGTAGCAGATCCATCAGACTTTCCTTTTTCAGTCTCCTCTGCAGTCTTTCCTGTTTCTTTAGAACTTAATGAATCGCTCTCTTCTGGATTATTAGACTTCTTCTCAAGAGTGCATCCATCAGTTTCCATTTTCTCATTATCACATTTTGTTTCCTCTGTAACAATTTTATCTTTAGAAGTCTCATCTGGATTAGTGCTTTCACTAGAATTGCTCGTTTGAACATCAATTTCTACTTTTCCTGCTTCCTTAATGCTATTTTCAGTCTTTTGGGGGCTCTCAACTTTATTCTTTTCATTCTTCGATTCTTCAATGCCTTTTTCAATTTTGCTGCTCATATTAGAATCCGTTTTTGGTTTTGATGCCTTTTCTGGTTCTGTTTCAGCTCTCTCTTCAACAGTGGCTTTGTTCTCTTTTTCTCCAGAGATGTTTTGTTCACCATTCTCTTTCTGAGCATTCCCGTTCTGTACAACAGCAACTTCAGACTTTTCCTGGGAATCTGATGTCGATGTTGCTCCTTCACTTACCTTCGGGCAACTGTCGTCAACATCAACATCCATTTGCATACTAGAATTCATGTCCTTAGAAGTTTCACTGGAAACTGTATTATCTGTAGATTCAACTGACAATTTTGTTCTCTTTGCAGATGCTTCAAAAACTATATCATCAAAGGACTTTATGACACGAAATTTGTGACAGTCATCATCTGAGAGAGGATCATTTCCAGGTCGTACAACCAGAACTGGATGCAATCCAGCTTCTTGGGCAGCCATTGCCTCTGCAAAACAAGTTTTTAAATGAGCAACATAACTTAATTTTTATTGAAAATTTAAAATAATTTCCATTCAGAACTTACCTTTAGGAATGTCTGTTAAAAACATTATTTCTTCACATTTGCAATTTAATTGTTTGGCAATATTTGAATAGCTGGAGGACTCAATTTTTGAACCCACATCAGTGTCAAAATGGCCTGAGAAAAGCTATAAAGAAAACTTACATTAATTTCATTCCAGTATTACTAATTTATAATAGGAAAACAACACCCATTAACAAGAAACACAGACACAAAACTCCCTCTACTATAAATTACATGATATTTATAGCAAAATTGAAGGGCTTGGAAGCAAACAGTGGCACTGCAAACAAAGTGTTATAAGGCATAATGTAACTGTAACATCAAAGGAAGGAATCTGTAAGGAACGAGTAACAAATTTTACAGTATGACTAATTTGTTGTGAAAATTTAACATACTCTAGCAAATAAATTGGAAGACTCAAGGCTGTAAAGATAAAATCCCAATTTTTGCTCAAACATGGCATTGGATTACATGATCCCAAGTCCTTCATTATATTACAAAGGTAGCAGTAAGAGCTTCTGAACCAACAATATAATCTCAGACAATGTAAATGCAGATATGCCAATAATTTTGCTCAAAACAAATTACTTCCATTCAGATGTCTCTTCTGTAATAAACTTAAAAATTATAACCCACTCTTTTTCATCATCATAATCTCCAATAATTTTACAAGTGCTCTTTCAAGTAACTGAATATTCACCTCTTTTGTCATTATCAAAACAAGAAAATAATGCAGTAAAATCTGTCTAAACCAGACCCTGTACAAATTTCTCTGGCTAGTGAAGTTCAATGGCATTAACCACAGCATAAAACAGAACCTGTTCAATGCAGAAACCGAATGTTTTTCACGTCCTGGAGAGAGAGAGAGAGAGAGAGAGAGAGAGAGAGAGAGAGAGAGAGAGAGAGAGAAAGAGAGAGAGAAAGAGAGAGAGAGAGAAAGAGAGAGAGAGAGAAAGAGAGAGAGAGAGAAAGAGAGAGAGAAACGCTACTTTCATAAAATGCATTTTCTGTGAATTTAATGCAAAAAGTTGATATTCTTAATGGACTGAATGCATCTACAAGTGTTCTCCATTCCTATGACATGCAATTTAGTCTACACAGCTACACCATGAAGGAGTGGAGCTTCAGTTGGTCAGGGTAGAATTCGACCTTGAGGTCGATGGGGAATTCCCTCCCTTACACATCTCTATGCCCCAGCATTGAGAATCATAACCGCTTCGTCAGAGAAGCATTGCTGAAAGGCAAGCAAAGGTATCATAAATGTGGTATTCAGGGACGTGAAGCAATGCGAGTTGAAAGAGTCTGAGCTGTTCGACTGCAGCCACTAGGTGTGCATTTTAATGGATTTCACAACCATGTTAGTATTGGTTGGAAAAACCCTGACCCTAATTGTGAAGTTTTTGCCTTTTAATTTTCAGATATGTTTAATATTAATTTATTTGTGACTTCTGCCTTAAATACATTACAATTTAAAATATTTTAACAATTAAATTTACAAGTTTTGGGGCCAAAATATCAATACCCCAAGCTTTATAAAACAGGCAACTGCATAAAAAACCTCTGTAAACCAGAATTTTCTTATCCCAATCAATTCCAGCTTAGACAGATATTACTGTATTAAATAAGACAATCTACAAAAAGAAGTGCTTCATATAAAAAACCTTTACAAATACACATCTATTTAAGGAAAGAAATTTATAGACTTAGTATATTTCAATTTTATCTTAATTAAAAGTATCATTTTGGACTTTAGAAAGGAAAATTTGAAGAATAAAAGTATCCATATTTTACTGAAAAAGAGGATGTCTACCAAAGCCTTCCATAATAAAGATTCAATACAGAACAACTGACTTCAAAAAGTTTTCACTACCTCAGAGACTTGCTTTACCTTGCACACTTTTTGCACTTTGAGAAATTAAATATTTTCACAATAAAACACAGTGACTTTCAATTTATCAACCATTTCTTTGGCAGTTTTCCTAGAGATAAATTTGTCTATTACGCATTCCCATAGAAATGAAAAATTTGAAAAACACTTTCTTACTGAATGTCATTAATGGTTTTGGGGTTCGAAGTTTATTATGGTTCAATTTTGTTAATGAGTATAAAAAGGATACATGCAAATAAAAATTTCACATTTATTCAAAAACATGTAAACTCCAGTTCTTTTTAAATATAATTTCTTCAAACAATATTAGTGAAAGTTACCTGTATCGTACCAAAATGAGTGCAGGCCCACCCAGAAATTTGGACCCCTTCATAAAATTAATCTTTAATCTCTTTTATCCAGGCCCCTTTATATCTACAATAAATTTTCTTTAAACACACCCACAATACTTCAGCAATACATAATCTCATTAAATGAACATGAAAGAAGGCAGGACAAGTCAAGACAATGCTTTCAACCCCCTAATTTTAACTGCTCATTGGAAAGCGTTGTCAGCAATGCACTCGCCAGGGTGTTATCACGAAACAAGTCAAGCATCAAACAAACAACAATTGAAAGAGTTTGTGTTGCGTTTATTGATAACAATGGGAAGTGCTTGTAACCGATAATGGAAAAATCTGCATTTATTATTTAATGCTATGAAATTAAGACCAATGAAACCTAAATGAATTGCTTACCATTACTGATTTAGAAACAGGGTTACATAAACTACTGAAGAAGAAAAAAATGTTCTTCTGGAAGATTGTGATTTATAATCTTTTATTGTATGAAATATTGCAAAGTTCCAGAAAAAGAATGAAGTGAGTAATATTTCTTACAATTGCAAAACCTTCAGCTGTAAAACCCACAAAGTGTATGGCTGTCGTCGCAACCAGCATCTTTTGCCAGATCATCGATTCTGCAAATTTTTAGCGCAATTTGTTTATTGAGTTTAAAAGGCTTACTAGCACACAAAGCAGTTACTTGTAAATTGATACAGAAGGTTGTGAAGTAATAGGATTAATTGTTAGGCAGATCAATTTTTTGGCAATGCAGGTAGATTAACATACAATGAAGTAAGCCTCATTGAAATCTTAGACAAAGGCTACAAATAAGACGCTCAGAAACTGTTTATGATCATGTTCCAAGTATTTAAATAACAATCATTCTCTCAAGATGTTCAGAGTACAAGAAGTAAATAATTAATGTATTGTACTTAAAAAACATGAACATTTGTGCGAGTCCTGTCTAGTTATAATTTTCATGTAAAAGACAAACCTTCATACTTGTCTCACACAAGTGAAATTTGCTTTTATAATAATTGGAAATAATTTTGAATTGGTAAACAATTCTATACTACAAATTAAATTATAATGAATATTTTTACTCGAGATTTTTGGACAATCTGGTGTCTAATGTTCATAATTCTGAATTATTCAAGACCCGGGAAAATAATTTTAAAGCCAGTTGTTCTATAACACTAAACAGAAAGATGAATAGGCACATATGAACACAAAGTCAGGTTTCAACAATATATGCAAATCCAAAATGAGCACTGAAATTTCATCTTCAACAAAAGGTACAAGTATAACGCAATAAAGGAAACGTTGGTCAATATTAATATAATATCAAATTTTAATCCCAATTATGATTGGTTTTAGTTTGCAGAGGACACTATCTAAAGCATTCTTCTTAATTTTTACTTTAACCCATGAAGGCCCTGACTTGTGATATATATTACGATTACCTTCCTTACGATTCCTTGTAATCACATCGAATCAAAATGATAGTCAATCTATTACATTTCTCCCCCAGATAACCTCTCAAAAATACATTTACTAAATCCCCTTAATCACAAGAGTTAATTAAAAAGAGAAAACTTGGACCACCAAGCGGCAATCTGTACATGAAAAAAAAAATTGAAATTTCATTTAAACGTAATTACCTTCACAAAAAATACTGCCTTCAGTTTGTCACCTGTGAGCTTTTCTTAGCATGTTATGAAATTCTTCCTGATATTATTCAGCCACAAATTATCTTCACATTAATTTCAATTACTTTTGCTTGAATTTTAACATACAATTCCCAAACAAAATAAAGCAGTGTAATTAAAAATTTTAATTTAACAACTTAAAATAAGGTTTTACTGTAAAGTGTTTGGAAGCAGAAGAACATTAAGCTTTTTGAACTATTTGAGCCCATTGTATAGGTCATGCATGATAAAGGTGAGAATGTTATACCCAATTTTCAATTATTACTCAATTCACGATTTTTATTTATTGATTACCATTTCTTTCCATAACATTGTTATATTTGAGGCAAATTACTTTGTTACTACTTTTTACACTATTACTAATTAAAAACCATGTTGATTATTACTCAAATTACTCTTACTCTTAACTTAAAACTATCTTAATTTGTAACCAATGACTTGCATATCTGCTCTTTTTCAAAATAGAGTCTGGGTAAATCTAAAATTGCTGCAAAATACAATTTAAGAATGTTTAACATGTCAACATCAAGCCTACCCTTCTAATAGCAATTAAAGCCAGGAATGGTAAAAAAAAAAACCTTAATATAACTAGAGTATTACATCCAACAATAATAGCACACACGTGTAGAGGCCACTTTCATACAATGTACTCCTTCAAATTTTCTCCCCTGAAGGACTGCCTTTTTAACATCCAGTATGCTTATTTTCTTTAAGGATGCATGAAAAATCTATGATCAGTAATTAAATAAGAGAAATTGTGAAAAAGAAGCCCCAACAATAGAAATAGTCCACTAACCCTACATTGAATTTTTCTAATGAAAGGAAGAGAAAAAAAAATTAAGCAATAAAATTAAACTGTAAGTAATTAATACAACAAATTAAATTAACACCATTTCAACATCAAATTCCTAATATAATAACCACAAACTATCAAATATACTAAGCACCAAAAGACTTGCCATTACCGTTTCAATGGAATATTTTCAGAGATTCTTATACAATTAATTATGTCAACTCCAGTGTATTGATCAAACTAGCATAAGAATCTAAAACAAGGAATCTTTTCTGAACAAATACCAAGTTCCTTAGCATAAGACAGATGTTTTCTTGAAATAAAAATACAATAAAAATTATGTACCTCCAGCAAGTCGCCCTTTTCAGAAAACTCAAAAAGGAGCTTCTGTGCAGCAACACTGCCTGAAGAATACACGTATACTTGACGACCACTGTGTTTCCAAGATTTTAGGGCTGGTTGCACATCGTCATACACGCTGAAAAGAAATTAAAAGAATATAAGTGAAAATTCATTTATTATAAAATAGAATGAGAGAATAGACACTTACTGTCCCTTTAATTTTCCATTCAAATATCCTTCACGCATTACATGACCCTGCAGTTGTTTCAAGGCTTTTGTTTTTCTATCAAGATCCATTTGCCACAAAATATTATTTAACACTGCTTGGCATATCTCATCATCATCATCATTACCAGCTGGAATGGGTACTAAACCTTCCACTCCATTTTCTTTATCACTCTCAGCCTAAACAAACGAATAAAAAAAAAAAGGTTAAATTAAAAAGATCCTTTGTGAAAGGTACATCCTCACTACTAAAGGAAAGAGCGAAACCATTAGTTTCGGTATGACTTGGATATTCTACCTGTTTTCGAAGTAAAGTCAAATCTTCAACAAATTCTGGCTCCTTCCAATGACTTTTCAAATACACTTTTAAGTTTTCCCTAATGTAAGGAAACAGCGTGTCCTGAAACAATCGAAATATTTTTTTCTCGTACGTAGAATTCAGAAAAGTCTATGAACAGAAGACCGCGCAGAGAATCAAAAGAAATACTATTGAATTCTCTAAGATGTGGAAATTAAAACATTGAAGTTATACGTACAAGAAAGTAAAAGAAAACAATAAAAAACTCGCATGTAAATCCTTATAGCAAAATGGACCCATTGAAGAAGCCATGCCGGCTAACGTTCTTTGTCCACTTGCAGAGAATTAATTTCACTTTACCTTGACAAAACTAATAGATGTAGTGGTTCCTTCTATATCCACAATTAAAATCTTAATCTTTTGATCGAATTCTTCGCCTTCCTGACTTCTTTTTTCGCTCGTACCGATCATCTTTTACAATATAATTGCGAGCGGTTAGCTCGCCGCTATACCAAGTTGGTATTACCAACGTGTACCCTCCTTCCAAACCAAAAGCTTGAACGACAAGAATCACCCCAGCAGCGCCAACCAATCCACGTTTCGGTTCGTTTCGGCCTATGCTCTCGCTGCACCCTCAGCCAGCTTCCTTACGGTCGCTGCCTCCGTTTTGTTATATCCGCGAATCGCAATCCACGGATCGGGCGCGAAAATATTTCATTATCAGAAACTTATGTCAATATATTCTAAATTATTTATCAATTAAACGAATTACTAATATATTCTTCATTTCCATTTTTTGTCGTCTGAAGAAATCATGTTATCGTTTAAACCCATTTGAATAAATATACGATGTCTAACGAGTATGATAATCCGGATCCATGTGCCAATGGGATGTTCTGATTCTGAGCGCATATTTCAAATCTTGTTCAACACTATACACAGCAGAGATTTTGAACAGATAAATAAGTATTGATTTTCAGTCATTGTAAATATCTACCTGTTTAGGTAATCACCAAAACCATTATTAGAGTAAAAGGTTTTTGGTATGCGTTTTATTGCTAAGGAGTCTAAAAAGGAAAATAAAGTTACATTGAGTACAAAAATAAAATACAATAAAGCAAGGATGCATGTGACTGTACTTAAACAGGGTTACCAGATGCACTCTCTAAAAGTGAAAATATTCTCTTCTGTACAATTCTCTATTGTACACTCACTCTCTTCAATGGAGATCCATTTTCGTACTTTCTCTCTCTCTCTCTCTCTCTCTCTCTCTCTCTCTCTCTCTCTCTCTCTCGAAGTATATTATTATGTAGTATAGAAAAAATTATGTAATGCTGCTCGAAAACAATGGCGGATTTTTGGCAGAAAACAATCAATTGCCGAACTCTGACAACTAAAAAAGTATAAATCCAGTTGCTAATTTAAGAAAAATATCATTTAGCCAGAATGTGCGGTGTAGCCAGAATACCTATTTTGTAGGTCCTTTATACCGAAAAATCGATTGACGGCAACACGTCCGTCCGTCCGTCCGTCCGTCTGGTATATGTGAACAGCACTAGCCCTTAAACTGGGAGTATGATTGTTTCCAAACAGAATATGCCCCTGTCGATTTGGCCTGAGTTAAAGTTCTGCGACTGAGAAATATTAATTAATATTTGGGGGTACTTTATATGAACGCACATTTTCAAAATTTTCTCAAAAATGACTCAATTTTTAAAAGAAATGTCTCGTAAGAAGAGAGTAAAATACACTTATGAAGATGGAATAGGATAGATTTTCATTACTAACTCTGAATTTTCTAAAAATGCGAAAGTTTAGAGGCGTCTTACTATAACTACAAAATTAAAGATAGAGATTTCTCCTTCAAATGCAATTAGTTCTCTATAATTAGTTCTTTTATTGAGGTCATGTACATTTTTTGAAACTTTCAGTAGTTTCTCGCAATATTGCGAGGAATATGTGCAACATTAAAAAATAACGAAAACAAGATTTTCTCAGAAACGGCTCCAAAGTTTTTCTTTAAACTTTTTGTGGGGATACGAGGGATAGAGGGATAATTGTACGCTGTGAGATGACATAAACACCATTTAGCTCTATTCTTTTGTTTTTTCAAAAATTACAAAAATGAAATTGTTTTACTAGTCTCTCACGTCGTCATTATTTACATTAGTGTCACACTTTGTAATGCGTGATTCTTTAAACTATTGCATTTGCAAGTCCATATTCTTTAAATAATGTATTATAAATTTTCTCGAAAACTCAAAACGTTTCTGTGAAAACGAGCACAAATGCTCTAGCTGGCTATGGTAAAAAGTGCCCCTGAAATTGAAAATATAATTTTTTCAAGAATTATGACCGCGAAAAACATTTTTTCAAAGACTTTTAGATTCTTACCTCCCTGTCCCCCATTAAATTCTCTGTCTTTAATTTTGTACATGACCTTTCTCTAGAACCACCAGTTGTAGTTGTCGGAAGAGGCCGAAAAACTACAAACTTTTGCAATTTTACAATAATCAGAATTAACCGTGAAAAACGGATCTGAGCCATCTTTATAAGTCTGTTTTACTCTATTCTTGCAAGAAATTTAAAGAAAAACTTTGACATCGTCTATGATAAATTTTTGAAAACGTCCCTGAAACTTCATGTAAAGCACCCGCAAATTTAAAATAACGTTTTTCAAAATCGTAAAGCTTTGAGTCGGGTCAGATCGACCGGCGAATATCTATTTTGGAAAAACAATCCTACGTATGATTCAGACGCTAGTGATTGTTCACAGACGGACGTTCGGTTGGACGGTGGAACAAACGTTTAGAAAAACTGGAGGTGCCCCAACAGCAAATATTTTCTCGCATGATCAAAAATAGTTACGTAATATTAAAATATTGTAATTTCTGCCAAATTAAAAACTCAATTGTAACTTGAAAAAGTCTAATTCAAACGAATCGCCTGTCATGCTTTTCTGCAATTATTTATTTTCAGGAAGAGTAGTCATTTTGAACTTTTAGGTATATGAAACGAACATGCATAAATTTAAATGTTGCAGTATTAATGGAACATGTAACAGTATTTATAGAAAAACAAGAATAATTGCACAGAAGCCTACCTTGATTACATTTGAAGTGATCTTTCAATTTTTTAATACCATAATCAGCGATTAAAACTTCAAATATAGAAGTGTGTTTGTAACTTCTAAGCTAAAATTTATTACCTTCCTTCAATCTACACTGAAGAACCAAATAAACTGGTACAGCCTTGCGTATTGAAATAAAGAGGTCTGGAACCAATCAAAATACGGCGCCCCGGTCGGCAACGACTATATAAGACACCAGAGTCTGGCACATTTGTTAGATCGGTTACCGCTGCTACAGGTTATTACGATTTAAGATAACGTGGTGTTATAGTCGGTGCAAGACAGATGGGTCATAATTTCTAGGTACACCACGTGTTAAAGGAGTTTTTTTTCTTAATTTAGCAGCTGGATTTATCCACTTTTTCGTTATCAGGGCCCGACAATGAATTTTTTGTGGCTAAGCTAGCGCTAAAAGTACTCTTATGAAATGACACAAACGCCATATTACTCTATTCTTTTGTTGTTGTTTTTTTAAATACAAAAATGTAACTTTTATTTTGTGTTTTAAATGCCTTAAGGATTTTCTGGAAACGTTAATTTGTATGTGTTAAACGTGCTCAAAATTCTGCATTTTCAGAAACACTCAAACGTTTTCTTAAAAACGATGCCAATTTTTTCGTCAAAACGTTTGTCCAAATGGTGGTAATTGCAATGTTTAAGATGACATAAAATTAATTTTCCTGTATTTATTGTTTTTTCGAAAATTACACATCTGTATTTTTGTTTGAAATATCTCTCACGCCATTAATAGGCACATTTCTAGCGATTTGTGTACTTAATTCAGTGGTGTAAGTGCTTCAAATGACTTCCCAAAAAGTTATTTGAAAACTCAAAAGTTGTCTATGGAAAAAAGCTTCGAATTTCGCACTTACATAAGAGCTTAAACGATAATTTGTTAAAAACGACTCCAAATGTTTCAACGAAAATGTTCTTGTAGGACAAGGTTTTACTCTTCTCAAATATTTTTAAAGTAACATGAGAAAACCAAAAAATTGAGAAAACTTTAAAAAGAATGCACTTTGGGTGGCGATAGATGGCAAGAGTGTGTGTGGTAAGACCGAAAAGCTAACCCAGACGAATGGAATTAGAAATCTAACTAGTACGAGAAAGTCAGTCCCATTCTGTAGCACCACTATTTTTGTAATTTTATTTAATTTATTTAAATAACTATCTCATTAAAATCAATACATTCCAAAGCATATCCATGAAGCACGCACAAACGTGATTTAAAGATCTGCAGATTATGAAAAAGTTGCGAGTTTATTTAGCTCTGGCAACAATGCAGAAATCGGATTCAATTTTTTTAGGCATTTCAGATTCACTGAATTACATATGTAGTCATTTGGTATTTAATGTTTCTGTATAGTAGCTTTTTATACATTTTTCATGTCAAAATATCCATCCCATGTACTCCTTAATTAACAATAAATTACATGGCCAACAATAAAACTTAACTTCAACGTCACTATCTGTTAGCGTTTGAATGAACCACAATACGGATTGAATTTTCTCGCCAGCACGATATAAAACCGCATTCGTAATAGGAGTAGGTAGACCATTGAAAATTTGTCTTTTTTCTACATCGGTTAGACTAAAAAATGGTGTACACAGTAGTTCATTAACTGTACCTGTCATAATGAAGTGGAATCGGTAATTCGAGGTGGATGGGTCCAGGCCTAACTCGAATTAATGAAAACTCGAATTATGGAAATGGAAAATGATTAATTTATTGAAATAGTAATATAAACACGACTTTTAAATTCCAAAGTATGTATATTTCAATAAAAATGTTATTGTATAATATTATTACGTTAATTGTTAAAGATAGATAATTACATCTTATAGTAAATATCAATTTTTCTACTTTCCTGTATATGTACGTATATACGTAGTAATATACGTAGTATAGGGAAAGTGATGCAATGCTGTGGAAATCGATTGGGAGATTTCAAGGGAAATACACGTTTTGGAGGCCTCCGATACGGATTTTTTTTCTTCCTTCAAAACGTCAGTCTGTCAGTCTGTCTGGTGAATGTGACCAACATTAGTGCCTAAACAATGCGTAGTATTTCTTCCAAATTGAAGAAACCCCTGTCCGTTTGGTCTGTGTCAAAGCTCTGCGATTTTGAAAATCATTCGTTACTTTTTGGGGGTATTTTTTCGGGTTCGAATTTATTCTCCCTAATTAGTTCTCTCATTAAGATGATGCTCATTATTTTGAAAATTTTAGTAGTTTACGCGCATTATTGCGTGCAATTTGTGCAAGTTATAAGTGCAAAATAATTTTTTTTACTTGACTCGTCGTTAATATTTACATTAGCGACAATTTGTTCACGTATATTTATATTTCTGAGTACATGTTATATGCTTATATGTTACATGTTATATATTTATGAGTACATATTCTTTAAATAATATCATATAAAGCTCCGCAGCTTAAAATTTCTCAATTTTAGAAACGCTCAAACGCCATTTACTCTAAAACGGTTCCAAATTTTTTCTTCAAGCTCTTCAAAAGGATAGTGCT